TAGGTGATTGTGGGTGGGGGGGGGGGGGGAGGGGGGGGGGGGGGGGGATTTTGGGCGCTTTGCTATCGGTTCGTCACTTGGCGCCATACTCGGAGAAGAAGAGTTGTTGGTGGAACTAAAAATGTGTTTTTTTGGCGAAGTCCTGCGGGGGGGCGGACCCACCTCAGGCGCTCGTTCGGATTCTATTTCCGGGAGATCGGCTTTTGTCCCGTGGGCACCGGCATTACGATGCCTCTCCCAACCCGTCGCTGGGCGATGGATGACTCGCGGGGATGGGGGACAGATGGGCGAGACACACGACGGTGACACGGTCGGCTGTCTGGGATCACCCAAAAAAAAAAAAAACGAAAAAGAGAGCCTCGCGCAAGTGAGAATTGGCAGCAGCGGGCCAACTGTTCCCGCATTGGCCCAAAGCGCCAACCGGCGGGTGGCGTGCGATGCCTTCATTGGAAATTCGAATTCCGGATGATTATAAGAGCAGCCCGTTACTTGGTCTCGCTCTGCCTCCTAAAAAATGGCCGCGTGCTGTTGAATCTGGTTTTTATTACCATCCTCGGATTGTGCTGCTCGTGTGAGTCACACTTCCTCCTCGGCTTGAATGCGCGCCGAATTACTTGTACGCGGCGAAGGTCCGCGTTATTGTGGGCAATACGTTCCGGACCAGGTGGAAAATTGCACATGAAAAAACATTTTTGGAAAATAGTTTGGCTCCTCCCGCCCGCTTTCAAACGCAGTTCGAATGTTTTGCTCACAAAATGAGGAAGTTAAATGTTGTCAGTCATGCACATTGCCCCCCCATTTTCCCCCCACACGCATCCACAGGTATGCCCTTTTGTCATGCTTTAAAGCTTCCAGAGCTGGTTTGGCACGCGCGTCACCGCTCGGGGAGCTGTGCATTTGGTCCGAATCATCACCCGAACATTCAAACGCCTATCTCCGTCCCCGGGTAAGCGCTGCCAGTCAAAAGCGGTGAGTCATTGCTCTCCTTACTTCCCTGTTACGGGAAGAAGCCGGCGTTATGTCACGGCGCAGGAACGCGCTCAAACAAAGCATACCTCTCCACGCGCGCGGCGGCGGCGACGGCGGCTGCAGGTCCAAGTCGTCATCGTGTCGCCGTGTCACACCGTTGCGGGCGTTTTAAAAAAATTTATTTGTGTTGTTGTTTTTTTTTTCAGCATTCGGCTGCCGGTGCTCGTGCCCCGATGTGATTTTTCTTCTTCTTCTTCTTCCCTCGTTAGAGCTCCATCCAGTATGTCCAAGCGACGTGCGTCGGAGAGAGCGGCCGGAGAGACGTCGGGCAGGGCCGGCAAGCTGCAGTGTCCAGTGTACGCCGGCATATCTGGCGGCAACGCCAAGCGAGCTGGGCCCTTTGTCCTGGGTAAGGGAATCAACGTGGATAAATTACAACCTGGAGTTTCCTAATAGGCGAAGTCGGAGTGAATGAATGATTTAATGAAAACTGAAGGGGTTTTTTTGGGGGGGGGGGGGCGGATTTCTGGGGATTTACTTTTTTTTTTTTTTTTTCTTTCCTGAGCACAGTACAGCGGTCCCCAACACTTTTTGCACCACAGTCCGGTTTCACCTAAAGACGTATTTCAACATCAAAGCAGTGTCATGGCAACCCCCTCCCCCCCCCTTGAAGCGTCAAATGGGTTGTAAGTTGGAATCGCCCGTCATGATGACTGGAGTGCATCAGCGGGACCTTTTTCGAACAAATTTGCTCCCGTCTAGAGCCACAGGAACCGCGCTCTGGTCATATTAAAGTAAGACGAGTGCCTCTCGGTCAACTGGTCGCGCTTTGCGAAAAATGACTTCTGCGACCGCTTCGCCATCGCCCAAAACGAAAAGCCTGCGAAAAAGAGTCAAGACGCCCAAAAGGCCCCCCCCCCCCCTTCAACGTGCCTTTTGAGAGCAACTTTTTCCGCACGACTTTGGTGGAAATTGAATTCGGATTGGCGAGTCGTTTGTCGTCGAGTCGGCGTGCCCGGCCAAGTGTCTGCGTGTGCGCATCCGCACGCCTGAGACAAGAAGAAAAAGAATTTTTGCCCATCGCCATGACGCAGAGCGGAAGGTGGACTTTCTTCTCACTCCTGAGGCCCTCCTGACAAGTCTCGTTTGCACGATGAGCCCATCTGCAAAGTGCCAAACTAAACCTTGAGCCGTGCGGGGAAGGCCATGGGCAGCCTTTATTTTTTATTTTTAATGAGCACATTATCTGCCTTTTCGTCATGCGATTGTTTTCTTGTTTTGTTTTTTTTTTTTTTTTTGTTTGCTGCAGGGCCTCGTAGGCCATGGGCAGCCTTTGTTTTACTTTTTATTTTTAATGAGCACATTGCCGGCCTTTTCGTCATGTGACTGTTTTCTTTCTTGTTTTGTTTTTTTTTTTGTTTTTGTTTTTTGTTTGCTGCAGGGCCTCGTCTCGGCAACTCGCCAGTGCCCAGCATCGTGCAGTGTCTGGCCAGGAAAGACGGCAGCGACGATTTCTACCAGCTCAAAGTAAGTAACGTGCAAACTTGGGAGATCAAATGTCATTCGGTGAGCATGTGAACTTTTCACCTTTTTTTAAATTTTTTTTAAAAAAAAAAACAAACAAATGATTTCAAAATATCGGAGTAAAATCCAGCTGCATCTGCGGAGAAGCCTCGAATGATTAACGCCGGCAGCACGGAAGGTTCCCGGAGTGAACGACGTGGTTTGATGTCATGTCTTATGTTGTTGCAGTCATCAGTGATTGCGCAACAACTTACGACGTGACGACCAATCGCGGATTTTGACAATAAACGCAAAAGTGCCAATTCAGCGCAGCACGTTAGAGCGGCGGCGGCGGCGGCACCGGCCACCTCTGTTAGCGCGACGGGCGAGGTTTCGGTTTTGTTTTTGTCGACTCTCAATTCAAATGGCAAAAAGCGGACGAAACTACATTTCTGGGAGTTGTTCTGTATAAATGAGGAAAAAAAAAATGATGTCGGAAATCACACGTTCAAAGAAAAAATCTCAAACTGTCGGCATCTTCGATCAAACCGAGGCTCTGCTCGGCGGTCTGGAACTTGGGTCTTCAACTGGACAGAGATAATGAAACTGGACCGGCAAATGGGTGCCGTTGTCCAATCCGGCTTCTTTCATTTTACGCCCCCCCTCCTGTTTTGCGCAGATCCTGACGCTGGAGGAGGAGCGCGCCGACTCTGCCGGCGAGACGCAAGAGGAGAGGCAGGGCAAGATGCTGCTGCACACCGAGTATTCCCTCCTGTCTCTGCTGCACAACCAGGACGGCGTGGTCCACCATCACGGCCTCTTCCAGGTCGCCCGAGCAAAAGCGCTTCGATTGGCCACATTGAGCGCAATGTCGAGCGAGCGAGCGCGCCGGATCCGTGGCGCCGCGTCTTCCGCTAAGGTTTCCCCTCCCCCTCTGTCGCGGTTTTGCAGGACCGGGCCTACGAAATCGCCGAGGACCCCGAGGCCAACAAGTCGCGCAAGACGAAGAAGCGGATCTGCCTGGTGCTGGACTGCCTGTGCGCGCACGACTTCGGCGACAAGACGGCCGACCTCATCAACCTGCAGCAATGATGTCGGAAATCACACGTTCAAAGAAAAAATCTCAAACTGTCGGCATCTTCGATCAAACCAAGGCTCTGCTCGGCGGTCTGGAACTTGGGTCTTCAACTGGACAGAGATAATGAAACTGGACCGGCAAATGGGTGCCGTTGTCCAATCCGGCTTCTTTCATTTTACGCCCCCCCTCCTGTTTTGCGCAGATCCTGACGCTGGAGGAGGAGCGCGCCGACTCTGCCGGCGAGACGCAAGAGGAGAGGCAGGGCAAGATGCTGCTGCACACCGAGTATTCCCTCCTGTCTCTGCTGCACAACCAGGACGGCGTGGTCCACCATCACGGCCTCTTCCAGGTCGCCCGAGCAAAAGCGCTTCGATTGGCCACATTGAGCGCAATGTCGAGCGAGCGAGCGCGCCGGATCCGTGGCGCCGCGTCTTCCGCTAAGGTTTCCCCTCCCCCTCTGTCGCGGTTTTGCAGGACCGGGCCTACGAAATCGCCGAGGACCCCGAGGCCAACAAGTCGCGCAAGACGAAGAAGCGGATCTGCCTGGTGCTGGACTGCCTGTGCGCGCACGACTTCGGCGACAAGACGGCCGACCTCATCAACCTGCAGCACTACGTCATCAAGGAGAAGAGGCTGGGCGAGCGCGAGGCCATCGTCATCTTCTACGACGTGGTGCGCGTGGTGGAGGCCCTGCATAAGGTGAGCTCGCGGCCGGCCTTTCAAATATCCGCGCGGCGTGTGTCCTGACGGCCCCTTTTTCCCCCTGCAGAAGAACATCGTGCACCGAGACCTCAAGCTGGGAAACATGGTGCTGAACAAACGGTAAGGCTTTTTGCCGCCACCTCGCCCGCGCCGCGCCGCACCCGTGTCGCACCCGAGCGGAGGGCCGCATTCTTGTCCCAACGGCGGGATCGGCACGTAGGAAGACTCATTGCCTCGCGCTTAAAAAATTTGAGTCGACGAAATTAACGCCGCTCGGCGGAAAAGAAACTTGGGCTTGGACGGACGGCGATTGGCCGCAACCAAAGTTTGCGCGCGTGTGGTGTGGAAGTGAGAAAGGAGAGGAGGAAGCCGGGTGGCCTTTATTCGAAAAACACGTGTGGCACACGGTATGTGGCGTGGCTACACCAGAAAGTGGGCACGCGCGTCTGTGTTGACGTTCTGCGCGTTTTTCAGCTTTCTAAATCCAAATCCGCCCGCCCGCCAGCTCCTCGCCACACCGGCTCGGTCCTGAACGATCATCCTCGGCCGCAAGTTGACTCATGTCGTTCTTTCTCACCCAACTTAACGCGACTGCTCTAACGCACTGGATTTGGGAGTCAGCCGGTCCTCCACCGAGCGTCTCCAGTTGGTCCCGAATGCCGCCGCTCGCCTCTTTTGACCGGTACTCATGAGAGGGAGCGCGCAAGTCATACTCGAGTCTGTTCCGTTGCGGCTGCTCCCGCTCTTTGCAATGAATGTTGGGCAAGCCCCCCCTCTTCGCCGGCCATTTTTTTTCAAACTCCTCCTTTTTCGTCTTTGGCTTTTGACTCCGCACGAGAGTTGATTCACTCCGATCGCGCCGCGGAGAGCAGCTTTTATTGTTTGGCGGTATCCACTCGTTTGCTTGTTCTTGCAGGACGCACAGAATCACCATCACCAACTTCTGCTTAGGGAAACACCTGGTGAGTGAAGACGACCTGCTCAAAGACCAGAGAGGAAGCCCCGCCTACATCAGCCCGGACGTGCTCAGCGGTGAGTGTCCCGCTGAAACGACTCACGAGTTGCCTCCGCGGGGCGGTTGCGCAACGCCTCCGGCCCTCGCCGGTTGTTTTTCCGTCCTCGGAGCGGGGCGGGGCGTTGCTGACAGCTCGCCTCCGCTGCTCGACTGGCGCCGAGAGGGGGGGGGGGCAGAAAATGAGCGAAAGCTGTCCACAAAGCTCCGTGTACGTGCGCGAGACAAGACAAATGTGACCGGCGTGCAATTCCAAGCACGCGTTCGATGACTCACGCACTGATGACTCACTGGAGGGGGAAACCCCCTCCTCCGTATACCCCCCCCCCCCCCTACTTACGCCGTCGCCGTTTGTCTCTTTGCGCGTGCGTTTCTCGCGGTGCATACCTGAGTTGAAGTGCGCGTCTCTCACTTACCCCCGTCCGGGTTCTGCCTTTTCCAGGTCGCCCGTACCGCGGCAAGCCCAGCGACATGTGGGCTCTCGGCGTGGTGCTGTTCACCATGCTCTACGGCCAGTTCCCCTTCTACGACAGCATACCTCAAGAGCTCTTCCGCAAAATCAAGGCCGCCGAGTACTCGGTCCCAGAGTGAGTCGCCGGGCGGACGAGATCTCGCCGCGGTTATGGCTTTCGTTGTGTCTCACGTAAACACACTTGCCCCCCTCGCAGAGACGGCCGCGTATCCGACAGCACGGTGTGTCTGATCCGAAAACTGCTGGTGCTCGACCCTCAGCAGAGGCTGACCGCCGGCGAGGTGCTGCAGTCGCTCGGTGACATCATCGCCTCGTGGTACGCGCGCGTCTCTCTTTTCGGATCGCCGCTCGGCCGACTTGAAGCAATGAGCAGATTTTTATTTTTATCCAGATTGATGGCAGATTGAAAGCATATCTTTTCCCAAAACATTTCATGAAGCACCTTCGATTTCCTTCGACAAAAATGTGCAATTTACTTTTTCGTCATTCACATCGGTGCATTGCAACTGATCCCACTGATTGTACAAAGGCACAAAACTTTGAACGAGTCATCAAAACAACGTCGTCTTCTACCCTGATGAAAACGGTGCGTTACCTAGTGGATACTCCATGAATTGCACCTTATTAAAAATATTAATTTTGTGTCTTTTATGCATATTTTTTTTCACTTTTAAATTATCCTGCGGGCCCGATTGAACCTCCTTGGGGGCCCGGTTTCGGCCCGCGGGCCGTATGTTTGACACCGCTGGTTTCGACATTAAAAAAAAAAAAAACACACACACACACACACAAGACAGAACTGAACTCCCAACTAAGCAGTGAAACAATTACCCCGATGACGAAAATAGTCGCGTAAACGAGCGGTCGATTCATTTCAGCTCCTCTAAATTGCAGGCAGTCCGTTTCGTCGCTGAGCGGCCCGCTTCAGGTGGTTCCGGACATTGACGATCAGGTCAACCACCACCCGGAGCATCTGCAAGAGGTAAAAAGAAGCGGCGAGGCCGGCTTGGCGCCGTGCGGCTCAAGTTGTTATTGAGAAAAAACAACCCAAAAAAGTGTCCGTCTTGATATGGGAGTCTTTTGGTCTCTTCCAGGCCAAAGTGACGGAGGAGTCGTCGCAGTACGAGTTTGAGAACTACATGCGTCAGCAGCTGCTGCTGGCCGAGGAGAAGAACACCTTCCACGAGGCCAAGAGCTTCCTCAAGCGCCACTTCAACAGCCTGCCGCCGGTGCGGCGGCTGGGCCACGACGCCCAGCCCGTCAGCCCGCTGGACGCCGCCATCCTGGCGCAGCGCTTCCTACGCAAGTAGAGCCCCCTCGTCTGCGCTCTCGCCGCGTATTCCGGAGCGGCCGAGCCGTACGGGACCGCCGTCGTGTAGCAGCACCTCCGCCTTCCCCGCCATGCCTCCTTTCCTTCTCTACTGTCATCCCCCTTTTTGGAAAACCTTCAAGTCAATCTACCTCTCCGTCTCTTCCTCCGTGTTGGTAAACCACGCTCACTGTTCTACCAAGCCACCGGCGACGTTCGTGTTTTCCCCCCGTCACGCCACGGGGAAAGAAACGACAAACCCTTCTCGAGTTTTGGACGGAATAAGCTTTTTTTTTTTTTTTTTTGTCTTTCGTTTTTTTTTTTTTTTTTTTAGCATTATGACCTTGGAGTAGCATTTGTAATATCCTATTGAAGACGGACATTATGGGAGCACACGTTAGTACTGGTCGTCTCTTTCCCTAGCATCAGGCAGCTTAGCGTGCGGAAAGCCTGGAAGTCGCCGCCACGCCAAGACCCCCCGATGTTGGACGCTGCCTCGTTGTCCTCCTTGGTGTCACGGCCCAAAAAAATCGCGAGGGGGGGCGGTGGGGGGCGCCACGGAACCGGTACCCGGCGCCTCATTGGGATTTGTAATGGCTTCCAGGTAGTCTGACGAAGACCAGATGAAAAGTGTGCTTTTGTTTTCCGGTATGAATGTGAACGACACTTTGACATGTTTGCATAGCCAAGTTGCGCAACGCAACGCGCGCGCGTCTCAAGCCAGGGCCCGCCGAGCCGGCGGCCATCTTTAAGCTATCCTCCAGTCTCTCGACGCTTTTCCACAGCGCGGTACCAGCTCCGGCTCTGCGAAAACCCTCCGAATCCATGCGGCGTTCAATGCAAATTTAATCCCAAGGCGGGTGGCAAAACGGGGGCGCTGCTTCCGAGGGGAGACTGTGGAGTACACGGTTAGCATTGGCTCAGTTTCTCTTTGGGGTGGTGTGGGGGGGGGGGGATTTTTAATTCCAATGGGTCACCTCCAGTCACCTCCAAGAGGGCAGCATTTAAAAAAAAAAAAAAAACAGCTGAGGGCTCCGGCCAAGTGGAGACTATGGGCAGCGCGCAACCACGCCTTCCACAAGCTAGCATGTTCATTTTCTGGCATTTCGAACAGAGACTGGCGAATAACCAGAAATGAGCAGCACTTATTTCCCCCCCCCCCCCCCCCCCCCCCCCCCCCCATAAAAAATGTCTCTTATTATTTGATAATCTCGAACGGCGTCCTCAGTCTCCACTTGGCGGCAGCGGCCTGATTTCCCGTCTCCTTCAAGTCTCCTCTCTGATAAAAAATCTGCCTCCTTTCCATGGCCGTTAATGCATTTGTGTTCTCTGGCCAAACAAAACCACAGAAGCGGAAAATCCCCCCCACGCAGATTTGATCCAAGAACAAAAGCGGACCTCCGCAGCCAAGTGGAGACTGCGGAGCAAGCGTGTCTCTTGTTTTTGTCCCTTCGAGCTCGTCGACCCCCCCGGTGTCCGCAGCGTCCGTAAGATGGCGTGGAACCGCGTTGCCGAGCAGAAATGGGACCTGGTGCTCATGGCGAGGAGAGCCAAGTGGGTACCGTGCGGTGGAAAAGCGTCCAAATAGTGTTTTATTATCTGGCACACTGTGAAAAGCAGACCAAACACCGAGCTAGCCCTTGATTGTCTTATTAGCAGCCCCACCCCCCCCCGTCCTGAGCGCCGACGGACTTGTCGCTAGCTGCAGGCTAGGTGTCCGTTAGCGATGGGCCGTAAATCGAGTTTAATTTAAAGCTGCTTTATGTAGACAAATGAAATCTAATGACCTTGACCGTGTGGATTTGGTTAATGAAAGCAGTGAGGGAAGTTTTTCATCAACAAAGGTTTTTTTTTTTTTTTTTTTTTTTTTTTTTTTTGAGGTGAAGCTACTCTCCAGCGACTTTGCCGCGGTCTCAATTAGGCTTCCTTACTATTTATGTTTGCATCCCAACCTCATTCACTTTACCGTTTCAAGGTGGATTTATTTATTTATTCTCTCAAAAAAATCAGCTACAATCATGAAAAAGTAGCCCCCCCCACCCCGCCCCCGCAAAAAAAACTCAAATACATCACGTGCTTGCCATTAAACATATTTCTTGCCATATCGCCACCATTTAAGCTACTCTGCCTTATGCTTGGTTCTAACAATTATTACCGATTTATTTTGTAAAAAAAAAAAAACTCAAGTGTCCCCTTTTTTTTCTCCAGATTCATACAGTTCATTAAAAAAAAAAAAAAATCGGAAAATGAGGTGAATGCAATGTCAGTATTGTAGCAGTGCAAAAAAATGCTGATGCAAAGCGATCATATAAGACGATAAATAGAATATCTAGATCATTTGTTTTGTCTGTTGCCACCACCAACTTGAATTGCAAAAATTGTATCGATAGCTTGTCCAAAAAGTTGTTTTTAAGATTTCCGCTGGGTTCATTCGATCAATTCCCCCCCCCCCCCCAAGTGACGCATTAATTTATGGAGACATGATGAATGAATGGATGGATTATTTTGTAGAATATTGCATGATTTATTTTATTTTTTTTTTTCTCAAGGGAATTGTCGTCTTGAAAAATTCCCTCTCGGTTTCACAGCAATTGGAATCTTGAAATGTTTGTCAAGTACTTTCACACCACACAAAGAAAAAGAACAAAATTGTACCAATATTTCCCCAAATTAATGGTTGTGGGTGGGGGATACACACACACACACACACAAACCTTTTCCCCAAAATATGGATCAAAAAAGGCTTTCCCTGAGTTTGGGCCTCATTCTAATTTCAATGTATCGTCCCCATATGTTGGAGAAAAATTGCTTCCATTGTTTTTTTTTTTGGTTTTTTTTTGACTCTGCATTGCTTAATTAGGTTCATGTCAAAAACACATCAGTTCGAATGCCCCCCCCAAAAAGATTTTTAACTGTAAAAATTCTCGATTTTCCATAAAGGGACAGTATGGAATTCGTTCGCCTCTGTGGCTGAACCACACTTGCTTTTTTTGTTTTTGTTTTTGTTTTAATTAGTTTTGATTTGAGTAGCAAACCCCCCCCCCCCTAAAATATTTGTCATTTGGTTTCCATTCACTACATTGGTTTAAAATGTTTGTATATAAAAAATAACAAAATTGTATTTATTCCCCAGGCACCCCCACCCACTTCCCGGATGACATCATAAAATGAGATGAATCTCCTAATTTATGAGCAAAAATAAGTTTCCACAAAGCTATTTTTTCCCCTCCTCACAAAAAAAAAAAAAAAAAACACAATTCACCTTTTTCTCTGCCGATTTAAGTAGCAAAACTTAAATTTGAACCAAAATCTCCCCCCGCCCGCTTCGTTTGCTCTCTTTTGGGCATATATTGCTTGATGGCTTTCCGGCGGTTCATTTGACAAAAGTCGTTTTTTGTCTTTTCGTAAGCTGCTTGCTCATCTATGGGCTGCTCTGTGGGGGGGGGGGGGGGGCATCTCGAAACACATTCATGACATTATTGTACAGTTGGAAAATCACCTCTGGATTTAAAAAAAAAAAAAAAGAAAGAAAGAAACGAACATATTTTTCTACTTCATCAGAAACTCTACAATGCATGTCAGCAATAAACTTTGATATGGAAAAAGGAAGTCTCCGCCCCTTGTTTGGTGATTGCAAAGCTTTCTTTTGTGGCCAGCAGGTGGCAATGTTTCTCTAATGATGATGTTTCATTTTGGATCAAAAAGAACATTGCCGAAAAATACATTCCAAGCAGTGAGCGTCTGTGATGTGGCAAAGCGTGGCGTCTGTCTTCGGGGAGATCCCGGAAAGGCGTTCGCCCGTCTTTGGAAGAAGCCGGCGGACGGTTTCGATGCAAGTCTGATCTTGTGCATCCTTGGAATTGGTGTCCTCTTTCAACCCTGCCGACAAGAAGAATGTCGTCAAGCAGCCGGATGTTTTGACGCTTTTGCACGAGTTTGACCCTTTTATCGTGTCTTGAATTCGGGACTTTCCAATGCGCTCAGGTTGGAATCAGTTGGCAAGGGGCAAAATGCTCTTTTAGTTGAGCTTTTTATTTGTTTTAGTGTTAGCTTTATCTGCCAAGATTGGCCTCCGAACGATGTTCTGCCTCTCAAAGAAACACAATTCTGCGGGAGGATAAACGGAGGGAGCGACGCTTGCGCTCGCCTCCGGCCCGGCGGCGTCGCAACAGGCCCGCCTGAAAAATGTCAAGTGAGCTCTCGCGGCGTCTGTGAAAAACATTTAGTTCCGAGTGCCAAATGTGTGTTTTTGAAATCGCGAGGGCTCCCTGCCTGAGCGGCGACGGTTCCTCCCCCCCCGCGACGTCGATGCCCGTCCATCATCTCGAAGAATTCTTCCACCGCCCTCACGAAATGTCTATTGCGCTCCCTTCCGACTTGAAATGAAAGCGTTTGCAGTCGAGTTCAGGAACGAGATCGGAAATTTGAACCAGCTTTCGGGACTGTGTTTTTCGCTGTTGACGGGAGACCTCACCAATTTTCCAGAAAAAACATTCAAGGCAATGACTGAAACGCATGCGAGGTGCGCCACAAGGTTCTGGTGCGAGCCCCTTGAATTCTTCCACCGCCCTCACTAAATGTCTATTGCGCTACCTTCCGGCATGACAAATTTAGCAAGCGTGCCCGTGTTTGTGTTTTCCGTTCGACTTGAAATGAAAGCGTTTGCAGTCGAGTTCAGGAACGAGATCGGAAATTTGAACCAGCTTTCGGGACTGTGTTTTTCGCTGTTGACGGGAGACCTCACCAATTTTCCAGAAAAAACATTCAAGGCAATGACTGAAACGCATGCGAGGTGCGCCACAAGGTTCTGGTGCGAGCCCCTTGAATTCTTCCACCGCCCTCACTAAATGTCTATTGCGCTACCTTCCGGCATGACAAATTTAGCAAGCGTGCCCGTGTTTGTGTTTTCCGTTCGACTGTTCGACTGACCTCCAAACCAAAGAGTCCAAACTATGTCGGCTGAATCGAAAGGGCACTCGGCGGCTGCTCTCGACCTCCATCCTGCGCGCTGACGCGAGTTTGCTAACAAAAGTTGCGGGGCCCCCGGCTCGTTTTTTGCGGGAGCCGCGCCGCTGTCAAACCGTAATTGCTAGGCTGGC